AAGGCATTTCAGAGCCTGGGAACTACTCATATGTACTGAGAGGGCTCTGCAAGTGTACCTCTGGTGAAATGTCCAAGTTTACTTTGAGAATGGAACTGATCTAGGTTGGACAGGCGACATGTGAAAGTTCTGGGCGTGTTGAGGCACAACATAATCCTGGGTGGTTATAAAATTTCCAAGATCCTTTTGGATGTTGATCACAGCTTTTGTGCTCAGCGTTAGCCAAGAGGTTCTGAGGAAGAACACCCACTGGTCCAGAAATGCAACCCAAGGTGAATTGGTATTGGGCTGGTTTTGTTTTTGGTTTGCCCAACCTCATGACCCAGGTAGAACAGACCAAACTGTGGTGCGTGGGATGTAAGGTAGTTGCTCAGTGGTGACAGGAACAGGCTGGTGGAAGTCACTATGAGCTACAATGTGAAAAGTGAGATTACCAGACTTACTGTGTGCACTCATATTGTCTAGCAAACATCACTGCTATCTGTATGACTCTTCCCATCTTGTAAAACTGACTGTAATGGTTGCACAGTAATATGAACATATTGAACAGTACTAAATTGTATATACTTGGACATGGTTAAAATGTGTTACAGTTTTGCCTTGATCAGACTTTAGTCAGGCCTCTGAATCTTTTAGTTTCCTCTGCATACTTCCTTGTAAAATCCCGTTTGAGCAAATAATCCTACTAAAGTAGTTTATCAAGAAATCGCACACTAAATATCAGATTATTTTAAATAAGTGATTAGATGTGATGTCTGATTGCCCTATGTCCTCAGCAAGAATCCTATTATTTCAGTTTATCAAAAATCTCTTATATTCCTAATGTTTCTTCAGTTATTTTCCATCTGATAATCACCACATGGCTCTGCAGCTGTTAATTTCCACTGCCTATGCTGTATTTCAAGTTGAGCACAATTTCTCTTCCCCAATGAAACTCTAATTTCTGTGGACCTTAAGCTTATGATGATGGTCCAAACTAAAGCTTTTCTTACTCCACTTTAACCATTCTCTTTTAATTCATTTTTTAAAAGTAGATTTAAAACTTTTTTGGACTGTTTTTCACAGTAAAAACAGTCATGGGATGTTCAGGGTAGTAATAATGAGTACAGAAAGAATGATGGTTTGCCAGAGGCTGGGTCAGGTGGGAGGAATGGAAAGATTTGACATTATTGTATAATAATAGTTGTTGATTGTTTAGTCTTACAAAATGAAAGGAGTCATGAAGATGCATGGTGGTGATGGTCCTAGGACCTTGAG